GCTTAGAAAGCAATGTCGCCCTTGTCTTCCCTGGGCCAGCCGGATTATTATCTTATATAAAGACAGTTAGAAGTGTTTGAATAAAATGCATAAGATATGACTACCAAGCATTTCTGGACGTTTCAGTGATTTTGTTTAGAACATGAGATCCTAGGTCAAAACTTGATACCTACTTTGAATAAGTTTTATTTATTTATTTATTTATTTACCATGATTGCTATTGTCACTTTTACCCAATTCACTTGTGTCCTTTAAGAGAAAGGTAGGCTGCACAGTAATTGCTAGGCTCAAGCAGTTTGGTCTCGTCCACAGTTAGGACCAAACATAAAGGAAAATCTTCCTTCAAGTAGTCTGTTTACTAGATGGATTAAATGAGAGAATATTTTCCTATTTAGGTCCTCGTAGGATCAATTCCGAGTGAAAAAAATAGTAGTGAAAAATTTCCACCTTTTATTACATTTTCTGATGAATTTAGTTGTTTATTGTATATGCTTCTAGTTTCCTGTCTCTTCCCCCCGCTCCAAACTCTGTATCTGGGTATTAAGACTGACACTGTAAAGAAGATAAAAGACACTGATGCAATGTCTGGACAGTTCCTTTGTTCTACTTACAACTTCATCACTTACACTTAATTGCAATTTAAATTTGTGAACACGTATTTTCCAATTTTAAATGAGAAACAGTATTTCTACATACCTTGCTCTGCAGTTAGCTGCAATATAATGACATGACAAATGAAGCTGTAGCATGTCATTGCTTACTGTGCTTCTACTTAGAATATTTTCCCACTGATAAGAGTACCAGATAACAAATTAGGTATGCTTTTTTTAATTGATCGGGAAACAGATATGCTGAGAACTCTTGTAAATTAAAACACAGATGATAAAGATACTAAGAGCAAGAAAAGGGCTTCACTACTTAAGTTTTTTGTTAGAATAAAGGATCATCATCTATATGTTTCCCTGAAATGAATGTCAGAGAATTTTAGCACCTAAAATCTGGTGGTTTTGCCTTTAATTTTGTTGTCACTGTAGTTAATTCAACAAACATCACTACCGGTAGTGGTTTTTTTTTTTTTACAAGATCAACATGCAAGATTTGTGTTGAATTGGAATACTCTACAAAATGTGCTTGAGAGGAATATGGAGAAAATATATAAAAACACTGATTAAAACAAGTGCATGCAGCTAATCTTCAGACACCTGAATGTAGAGTCTAAAAATCTGTCTCAGATTTTATTATTACATTCTTTGGTTAATTTAAACTTTGTGAAAAATTGCAGATCCTCTAGTTTAAAAGTGGCATACTTAATTTGTCATCTCTTTGTTGGGTAATTAGAAAAAACCCAGTAGCAAACATATGCACAGGTTTGGTCACAGTTAAAACATTTTCTAGCATTAAATGAGGTTTAACAGCAGACTGTAAACCTTCTATTACCAGTCTCAGCCATAATTAGCATGAGCTTTGGGAGAGAATGCTAAAATGCCCATGCAATGTTTCGGCATACTATAACTCCTTGTACTGTTGTTGCATTATCTTGTCATATGAATCTTTTAGAAGATCACAATAAAAGTATTCCCGCAGCCATCCACCCCCTACTCTTGCTATATAAGTACCCTAATACAAATGGTTGCCTGCTCAATCCTTTTGACTTGAATCCTTCTGTATGATTAGCAGTTCCTGATTTCTGTTAATCCTATACTTTTCGTCTTTCCTGTATGCTGTATCTAATTATATATGACAGCAAGTACCACAACCTCCTAAAAATGGTGTAAACTAAGCAGCTCTTTGCACTGATTTGTACCCTACTATATGCTTGCTTGTGATTTATGGTCAATTTTTGTTTGCTTTTGGAGTAACATAGTAATGTGTTCTGAGCAGGCATGTATTTGTCACTTCATATGGAAAACTAATTTATCCATTTGGAGTTGTTTCACTTTGAAATTTTATGCCAGGTATGTCAGATAGGGTCTTAACTGTAAGTAATAATAAATATAATAATACATATTTTCACTAATTCTGTAAGTTAGTAAGCTATTGGGAAAGCGTAGCCTGAAATATTACCTGACCAGATTCTGGTTTACAGTGTCTCAGCAGGTGGACTAACTCTCTGCATTTTGTTCACATGAAATCAAGGCAAACCATTCATGGACTGGGATTCTACTGAGAGTGAATGAGAATTAGCAAGGTCTTGATAGGCTTTACAGGAAATATGGGTAGTTTAGTAAAAATAAAAAAAAGGTCTGCGTATTGCACCCACTGTTTCCTTAGGGTCATATAAAACAATCATGGTTTAACTGATAGGTGGGTTATGATCATTTGAATGCTATTATTTAAGATGTTTTTTCCTTTAGAATTAGGCTGGGTTTTACCTGGAGATCAGCAAATTCAGATCTGCTGCAGACTATCGTATTCCAATGCTGCAGCCCTTTCACAGGAAAAGTTTGCCTTGGATATCCATTTTAGTCCCTGTGAAAAGTTACAGATTACATTTATAACTACAGTTGTATTATGACTATGCATAGATATAGAGGGGTGTATATATATAGACATATAGTATATAGACATATAGGTATAGTATATAGGATGTATGCTATACTGTGTATAGTTATATATTGGTCTTTTGGGTAATTATGTTAAACTATTTAATTCCGGGTGAATTGTAAACCTGTTAAGTTCTCTCCACTCCCAGAGAAGGAGGTCTGAAACTAACAAGGAAAGCTCTGTGTTGCGTTCTCAACTACAGCACCTATAGGTATAAACTGAGTGTTTGGGCACACGTACAGATGAATGTCTGCATTGCTAAAGTGCAGATTTAATTTTTGTTGGGTGAAGTACATAGTTGCTGGAATTGAATGTACATGGCGGGGTGTAAAAATGCAGTGTTCTTTGAAAATTCTGGCTTTTAGACGCCTAAATCTGGCACTTGGCTGCTTTAAAAGTGTAGCAAAGTACTGGATTCTAGGATTCAAAGTGCTAATCATTGTTAGATAAAGCATACTGAACAAAATATATAGCTAGATTAAACGCACTTAATAAGAACCTATATTGTTCCTTGATTCTTAAGGAATTACTCCTGTGCTTTGTTTAAGATATATCAGCCATCCCACTGCATTCTTATATTTTATTATGCTTCTGTATTTGGTGCACCTATAACCAATGTCTGAAAAGTGTATTTCCCTGACTGCACAGGTAGGTGAAGAGACCCTACAGGGAACACTGAGAGGAGTCTGTGCTTTCTGCACAGAGTAGAAGGTGGGAGAATTTTGGGGGGTCAGCACTACCAGTAATAGGAGCTGCTTTACTACCAAAATGCGTACATATTCTTCATATATGCATTGGTGTGAATCTCTCTGCAGGTTCTTGTTTTTCTCGGAGGCAGCAAAAATAACAAGTTGTCCTGTGAGTAGGAGAATGTCTGTAGCCTGATCATGTGTAGTTTTATGTCTTAGGGTTGACTGACTTCCCTGAATCACCCTAATACTGTAGTTTCTCCTGGGGCTGAGCTGACCTCTTCCTGGGTAAGGTGCTGTAGGAATGCCACAGGTGTGCATTGGAGGGAATGGATGTTGTGGAGTTCAGAAGTACAAATTCAGACACTTTTGCTATTCTTGTAAAAGAGATGTTATATGAATGGCCCTTCTTCCTTATGTGATTTCTCTGGTATCTCATATAAGGATGAGCTCATCTAACATTCTGTGTAAATTGCTAATTTAAACCTTATTCTATACCAGGCTGACTTTTCATTACGCTTGTTATACAAGACCTCTAACTCTGAAATCCAACACTGGACTTGTCTATTTCTTCTCTAATAACGACCAAGCACATATGTCTAAAAAGGCTAAAAAACAACAAAATCTTTGGAAACTCACTTTTATACTTAGCTGTGCAATTGCTTGAAATTGTATACACTAAAATCTCTAGAGTCTAAATCACAGGGACAGAGTTTCAAATTTGCACTCTCAATAGATGGAAAAAGTTGCGATCTGTGCTGCTTCAGGAAGCCTGTATTGTCCCTAATATGTTTGATTTGCTTTTCCTTTTTTCCTTAATGGGAAGACTGAGAGAGGCAAGTTTGACAGACGGTCTGTAAGGGTAGCCCCAGACACTGGCAAGGAGATCTCTTTAGGGCAGAGCGAAGAAATATTTTTCAGTTGGCCAAGTGGTGAAAGAGACTGAGAAGTTCAGCTGAACTAGCAGCAGACTGAAACACCTTACCTGTGCCAATCGACTTGGGCCGGGACTGAAGCAGCCAGTGGTAACAGGTGAGAGGATGCCAGTGGAGTGGTCTTCAACAGGGAGTACAGTGACAGTGGAAGACTAGGATGGAAGGTGACATCCAGGACTGAAAGGTGTAGGTGTAGCTGGGAAAAACAGAGATCACGAAGGAAAGACAGAGATGGAAAAAAGAAAGGGAAGAGTCTAAGAGTAGGCTGGTAGTGACAGTGCTCGTGTAAGGAAGTTGAAGAACTGATACTGGTTGAAAGAAGACTGAGACATAGACTATGGTGAAGAGATGTTGAAACTGGAACTGAGGAGATGGCTGGAGTGAAGCCTTTGTGGAAGGACAGTTATGATTAGGGATTGAGGGATCAGACAGGATTTTAAGGGGCCTTGGGACTTGGATGAGAAGCAAGAGATAAGAATTGGGACTGGCACTGAATGAGACCACACCGGATCATGCAGAAGACTGTCATGCCCATGCTTTTTCAGAATGGATTGTAATTTCACATCTGTCTTGATTTTTGAACTTGACCATCAGTCCAGCTAACTGTCACTCGGTTATCTTTGGTGATTTTGGCCCCGTTAGCTTCCATATCTGTCTATCCATTGTCCAGCAATTCTCTTTACCTAGCCAGTTTCAAACTAATGTTATCCCTTGAAATCAGCTCTGCCTTCTGTTTGTCAGCTGCCCTAAGATCTCCACAGCTCATGTCTCTTATGAATTCTGCTCCTAGATTTTCTTTAAGGTGTTTCAGCCTTAACCCTGTTCCCCCTAGATTCTTCCCCGTGTTTCCCAGAACTGCCCTGTACTGCTCCTTCTCCATCCATGAAAAAAGAGCCTGCTTCCAAGACGATAGGGGGTAAGTTTAGCCTGATTCGCACAGCAACACTGTTAAACCTCAAGCAAATATAAAATAACAATTGTATTTAAGGGTGGAGGAGGGCTAATAAAAGTAATTTGGGAATATTCGTACTGAATAGCATATATAAAATCTACTTTTCTTTTGTTGTGACTTTGGAAATCTAGGTTTTCCTAACAAGCTGTCTTTTGGGTAGTAGCTAAGGTATCAAGTTATTTTATACGCTTTCACTTTTCAAAAAGACTTCGGTGCTTACAGTGCTCTTTTCTTGCGTATGATGCCATGCAGGGGTTTAGCACCTGTGTTACTGCTTTTTCTCTCTCCACTTGCAGGAGATAATAATTAAAAAGGCTGAGTTCACCACATTGTGCTCTGCAGTGAAGCTGAGATAAGAATTAAATTAGTTTCAGTCTGCTAAAGAGCAGGAAATCCAGGTAGGCTAGGAACTCCAGATGGAAGAAATGACAGAAAGCTGGAGGGAGTTTTACTTCCTTCTCCATAGGACATGCATGAAAATACGAAGCACCAATTTTGAAGTTGTTTAAAACTCTAAACTCTTGCTGCTTGTAACTTCAACTCTGTACTTCTGCAACCTAACAAATGGCACACATCTAATCTCTGTGTCATAGAGTGTATGGCCCTGTATGAACCTCAGAAAGAAGTTGGTCCTTTCTGAATTAAATAGCACACAGATGTCAGGAGTCAGCTGAGGTGGACGATTTTTTGGCTAGAGAGGTGAAATACAGGGAAAAGTCCTATTGGAAGTATATACTGGAGGAGAATTTTCTTTCATGCCAGAAACAGATCAGAACTTCTTTTTACAAGTTCTCAAAGGAGAGAGAGTGTTTTCTGTTATCTGATGTTTTTTACACCGCATTTTTTTTTTTTTTTTTTTTTACAGACAACGAAGAATGAGATGTTCTTAATGACTGAAGCCACGGCAGTCATTCTTTTCTGAACTGAATGATAGGGAGACAGGATATATTTTTTTTATCTTCTGAATATATTTTACCAGCCAGGTCTAGGTCTTCCAAGCATTTATGTATGTGCTTAGCTTGGTTATCATACATACCTTTGACAGTCAGAAGAAGACAGTAACTGAAGATCCAGTATAATAGGTCACCCTTCGCAGTTTTAGGTGAGGAGTCAAGGTATGCTTCTCGCTAAACATTTGGACATGTACAAAGAGTAGGTATGTCATTTGCTTCTGCAAACTATGTTCATCTGTAAGGTTCTCAAATTGCTGCAATCAGAAGTGTTGTTAAAGAAAATTTCCCTCAGTAATGTACTTGCTGTATTGCTCAGTGTATTATTGTCACTGTCGCATCAGTGATCCAGATTAATCAACTTTCTTATTTTGAAGAAAAACAATTTTCATTTTCTTTTCTTCCATTTTCTGTTAAAATCAAGGAAGTGCCCAGTCATGGGCTAGTAGGATCCAAGGTGATTGCTTTCTTGGTGTGATTGCTGCTTTTGCATATTAGACTGCTTTTGTACAGCATTTCTCATCCAATACTGCCAATAACTTTTCAGAAGCAGAGAGGCAGAATTCAAATGACCTTTAACAGGAAAGTATTGTGTGTTTATTAGTGATGGAACATTAAATCAACCTTTGACTTTTAGAGGAGGTCAGTATCATGGCTGAAATGATTGATAATAGTTGCCTTGACCTGTTAATTCTTTACTTTAAGGCCTGTTGGAAACGCAGTCGTTGCACGAAGCAGATGAAGACATGGTCACTGATGTTGATTTCACCAATATGATTTCTGAAGAAGAGAAAGAAGAGTTAAAGACTGAGCTAGCCAAGGTAATGAATTTGAATCTCTGTGGGTGTTACTTCTTCTATTTCCTGAAACAGGAAGATAATAATTATATGATGAAGTTCACATCATAAAGGCATGCTCTTCCTTTTAATGAAATTATTCTAGGCTAGAATCGTGTAAAATGATTCATTTTCTTAGATATTTTTGGAAGGTTAATCATCTTTTAACCTGCTGATTATAGAGATAAAGTTAAATATGCCATTTTAGTCAACAAATGTCGTTTGTCTTTCTTCATAAATTGAAGTTTATTTATAATGAAATCTGTTCTTCCCATTAGATCTGTGGAATTGTTGCTACCATGGTGTGACACCTGATGGAAAAGATTCTTTGTAGGATACTCAAAAGGAAAGCTCTGATGATGATTACAGAAAAGCAATGATGATGAACACAATAATTTTTGCCATAGTTTTACTTCCTTTTGGCGCTGATATGTTTAGAGAGGGTTTTATTTTTGGGTTGCATTTTGATTTTTTTTTTTGCTTAAGTAAAGAACTTCAGAGCATGTCATGACACCATAACTTCTCAGAATGCCATGAAGAGGTTTAAAAAATAATACTTAATAACAACAAGGTGGGAGGAAAGAAGCCTGAACTATTCTTTGTATTATAAAGGTTAGGGAGCTTGTTTCAACTGTGCCTACAGTGGAAGAGTGGATTCAGTTTTAGTTACTTCTGTTGAACACTGCAGAAACAGCAGTGAAGTTCCTAAGCAGAAAATAAGTGAAGGGGAAAAAATGAAGATTTACTTATTTTAAATATGAGCCAAATTAACAGAAGTCACAGTTGTATGAGGGAGGGGGATTTTTTTTTTCTCTTAGTTGAAATAAAGAATGATTGAGACAATGGATTGGAAACTTCCCATAGGAAGAATAGACTGTCAGCCAAGTTGAATGGTAGGAAGTTGAAAATTTAGGGCCATGAGCATATATCCTCAACTTGTAAACCGACTAGGAAAAAAGCATTGCCTCTTAAGTCCTTTCTCCCTCAGTGCTCTATGAAGCATCTGCTATTAAACACAGAACAGACGCATGCAGAGGACAGTTCTTTTGCAGAGGTTAATCCTTCTCCTTCATACAATGAAATGTTTAATGCTAGGTCATAGTATTAAATACTCTTAGAAGATATATCCTTAATGACTTTCAAGTTGTTCAACTTAAATGCTGCTTTACAATTTCCTAGTGAGACAAAAACCAAAGGATTTTTTTCGCTTTACTGTTTCATCAAGCCTGATGTTTCTGAGTTGTTACATAACTTGTTACTTCTTTGATCTTGTTACTTCTGTAATCAGTAAGAAGGGAGCTTACTTTACATACTCAGCTCATCACGAAGCGGTGAGACATGTTTATTATGGGCTTTTTCTCTTTGAGTCATTGTTGCTTTCTGTACACTTTTCTGGTGGAAGGAACTTAAGAGAGGGATGGAAGGAAGGGGAAAAAAAAGAACTTCCTGCAGCCCTCTGAGAATGATAAGCCTTTCTTAAGGGAGGTCCTCCTTGAGTTTCTGGGCATCCTTTCTGCTTGCTGATTCCCATGGGACTTGGGTTCTCAATGGCTCGTGGTAGAAATGCTTTAATCCATGTATCAACCTACAAGTGAGAGATTTCCTGTCAAATATTACAATCTTGACTGATGTATACATTGTTTTCTGAATTGTTCACAACAATTTACTGGTGTACAACTTACACTTATAGGCAAAACAAAACTGCTAATTATCCTAAGAAAGGTTTGGAAAACTTGAATTTGGTGAGCTAAGCCTAAACTTAAATGAGGCTTATGATTCTTAGAAGAGACATCACAAAAAGATGTGTCAGACCTCGACTCCTTCAGAAAGTAACCTCAGTGGAAATTGGCTAACATTTCCTTTCAAAAAGCTACTTCTCTTTACTTTAAAGCCCCACTCTGCTCTACCAGTGATAGTTTTGTTTTCTTCCATATCCATATGTGTGGGATAATACTACCTGTATCAGGCTGGTGGAACAGTCACCCTTTTCTTGCTGCTCAGAAAGTTCCAAATCTTCCTTAATGTTGAGATCAGTTAATATTTGATAGAATGAGAAACTACTGAGAGTGCCTGGTATGCATATGTTTAAATGGAGAAAACGAGCTGCATCTCTGTCTTCGGTATCTTCTGTATATATTGTCCATCTTCTTCCCTTCTTTCCCCGGCATTAAGAGGGAAATTAACGCTGTTTTTCAGATATGTTTGTTATATCCTCTTTTCCCACTCCTCTGCTATTTAGTCTCTTTATACTGCAAGTCTTTCAGTGAATGGACTAACTCTAATGTTGTATTTGTAGTCTGACTAACACAGCAGGGCTCTGACTCTAATCGAGCCTTGGAATTTCCACAGTGCAAGTAAAATAAATATCTGTTACAGGACCTGAATTAGCATCTGAATCATCTGAATCGTCTGAATTATCAGCGGTCAGCCTGATGCTTCAGAATAATGGCAGAAAATTGTAGCCCACAAGCTTTATACAAGGCCAGAAGCAGATTTTCTTTTCTTTTTTTTTCCCTTTCAGTGGGGGTGGGGTGGTGCAGTCTCCAGAGTCATGACCAGGGCTGAGGTTTTCTGGCTCTCTTGATCACTGCCATCTGTTGTCCTTCCATTCTACCCATCAAAGTAGCCATTTATTCCCTGTTGCCTTCTTCCTCCCATACCTTCTCCACAGCAGCTATCTGATTTAACCTACAGGCTTTCCAGCTGGTCCAGAGGCTCTAATTTCAGTCGTATGCGTTACTGCATATTTATTCTCAGTGTGAGGAAAGATGTGAGTACCTATTTCTGCAAATTTATAGGTAATTTTATTTATGAGTATCCTTGATGTCTCTGGGAGCTATTCACCCAAGTAAACTTACATATCAGCAGCCACTGAGCCTGGAGGTGTAAAATTTGATCTACATGACCTGATAGGGAGCTGAAGTGCCTGTTATGTTTTGTACTAGACTATTCTGTTAACAGTTACAGCTACTTCATTTGAAAGACTACCGTGGTAAGGTGCTCCCATTTCCTTACAAATATTTTAAAATGTTTTAGCATACCTGTTATTCTACTAAGCAATTTTAAGGGGTAACTATTCAGTAATGATAATTAGCTTTCTAAATAAACTGGTTAGTTAAAATTTCAGACTCCCGTGGCTTGACTCTGTTGAGAGGTTGTTTTTCTCTATGCCCGCTGTAAATTTCTGTGTATCATTTGACATAAAAAGGATTACATGAAAGAACAACATAAAGAAGATGCAATCTTGTTTATTTGAAAGCCAAAGATGTGAAGGAAAAGATTATTTTCTTGCTCACAAAGTGAACTTCTTTCAGTTTTCGTGTACAGCCTCATAATTGCTCTTCTTTTGTTTTAAGCACCCTACCAGTGATATAGCTAGTCCTTCCTTATTACGTTTTTTGTCTCTTTCTGTTATGCCTTTTTCAGCTTTTCTTACAGGATATATCTATGCAGCAAAGCAAAGGTTCAGTCCTACCACAGGCAGGCAGATCCGCGCTTCCCGCAGTCTAACTGCCACAGTAGTAAACGTGATGATGAAGGGGTTTGATCCAATGCTGAGAACCCAGGGTATTTGCAGGCCTTAGCTACATGATAAGATAGGTTTTGTGGCAGTGCTGCTTCTGACTTTCTACTCCTTCCTGCACATTTTCACCTCCACACCTCCCAACTGCTTTTGGCAGCACGACTGGGATGGGCTATGCTGGGAACACAGCTGCAGGGGTGCAGTGTGGTGGCACAACCAAAGACAGATGTACCAACTCACAGAGGCCAATGCGAGCTCCTCGGGCCAGCATAGCTCCCAGGACCTCCTGTCAGGGAGCCGTGGCCTTGATTTCCCCACCAAGATTGAGTTTACTGTAGTTACCAGCTCATTCTAAAGTTTGTGTGAGCATGTTGTCGTGGTGCCAATGTTGCTTGCTTAACTTGCTTTTTATTTCTTTAAACAATACCTGGTGAAGCCTGTCGCTCAGGTAGTCCACGTTCCGAAACAAGTCATGTCTGCCTTCATGTCAGTAGTGATATGTGTCTGTGCCTTTACATGTTTAGCTGGCATGCTGCTTGTGCTGGTTTAATTAGTCATTGCCTTCCTTTCCTCGCTGTCTCCATCCCTTGTTCCTGCTCCCTGTGCTGTGCCCGCGCAGGTATTTGCGCAGTTTTCGGCGCTAGATCTAGGAACTGCTCTGGCAGAAAAATAACTCTATTTTTTCCGTGCTGGTTTTTAGCTGATTCAGTTCTCCCTGACCAGGTGAGCTGCACAAATAGCTAAGCCAGGACACTACACGTTGGGTGATGTCATGTAGGAAACAAAAAAAAGATGCTTAAACAAATTTAGAAATACATGTTCAACTATGCTGTCTTCTTTCAGATGGGACTTCCTAATGTTTCAATTACCTACTGCCATGATTCTTAAAACTTAACATACTCAACTTACCATTCATCTTACCATTCAATCCTTTTTCAGTGAATATTATTCCAACCAATAGCTGAATCTTTCCACTTTCACATTTTAAATAATACCATATATGTTTCAGAGTATAGATAACACAAATTTACATATTTTTGCAAATGCTAGTTTATCCAAAGTGCTCCATTTTACTGCATAGATATTTTATGTGGTTTGTTTTTATAAGTTGTCTGCTGGAAAAGATGGGAAAGATTACATGTTGGAGGATTACTGTTTGTTTAAGGCATGCCACCAGCTTGTAAGATATTCAGCCCCTTAAAACACCTAGTTTGCCCTAAAATAATCAAAGGCAAGCCAAGGGAGAACGCTTTTTTTGTTTTCTGCATTTGTATGCTGTTCTATTGTCTTCCTTCCATATTATTTGTCCCAGTTTTCAGAGATTTGTCTGTATTTGTACCTCTCTTCTTGGGAACTCACCTTGTGTGATTTAGGTTAGGTTAGCCAGCTGCTCTTGGGAATCAGTTTCTTAGGTGGGTAGGTTTCTCCTGTTCTTACTTCTACGGATGTCTTACACGGTAACAAAGGAAAGAAGAAACACCTATTAATTCTAAAGCCTGCAAAATGGAGGAACGTTGTCCCTACATGCATTCGTTGCACTTACAAAGGAGGGAAACATGAGGACTAAAAGCTTGTATTTCCTGAGCCCTACTTTTCTAGTGGAGTCTGCATTTATAATGATGGATTGTCCACAAATACCGAAGCAGGTGATGCCTGACTTCCATGGGAGCTAGGAATGTAACCTGCTTAAATGATTTCGGAGATCCCACTGTAAGTCCCTAATCTTTTCTGCCTACAGTCAGTCTTCAGTCACATATATCTGGACACTGTAGGGAGGCCTTGCACCTACCATTATTTTAGAAAGACAGAATTTGAGAAGGATGTTGTCAGTTCAAAACCAAGCTCTGATCTCTAAAGAAAATCAACTTACTATCTTTAATGTGGTCAAAAATGGTGTTCATGCTTACGCCACTGAGCACAGGGTTAATGCTTGCTTAGGGCTTTACAGCTTTAAGCGTCTATTCAACTGAACAGATGGAAAGTAATTGTAATAGAAGCCTTTGAATCTTCACATCTCCAAGTACATAATGATCAGCCCTAGTGCTAGCCCATATGGAAAGCATTAATGTTTAAGTAGCTGTAAGCATACTGGTATTGGTTTAAGTTAAATTCTTGAATAGTGTTACTGAGGAGAATTTGTGCGCTACAGGGTTTGCTGTGGATGGGAAACAATTAAAGGGAATTGTAAACTTTGTCACCTAAGGAGTGCTGGAATTTGTGATTTCTTCTTTCTGTAAGCGTCTACCCGGTTATCCTCTCAGAATAGACCCTCTTGCTGCCTCTTGGCAGTGTTCCGTTTTCAGGTTAGGAATATAATGCAGCATAAAGGATATGAGGAGAGAATAAAGCAATTTTGGATCATTGTGTATTCTACTGATGAAGTGCTCGCATCACAGAAATCAGTGAATACCTGTATCGGCTTCACTGAGGTCATGATTTTGCTTTGTGTTCATAGTGTTGCTGCTTAACTGCTGAGCTGCTTGAATAATTTAGATAGCAGGTCCCTGTGACAAAGGAGAAGCTGATAGGTGGAGGATTAAACAGTGAGACTTTTCAAAGAACAATGAACTTGTAGCCAGTTTTACAGGGAAACAGAATGCATGAGTGTGCAAGATAAAAATAATGCTGACATCCTAAACATAGCCCTGGAGGTCAGCAACTGATTTGGCTGGTGCTTGCCTCATTGCCAGCCACCTATGGAGTTAAATCACGGGAAGGCTGTCATTCCAGGGAACTTAACATATGGTAGTCAGATATGTTAACATATGTTATCCTATTAACATATGGAGGAAGGAACACTGTTGGTAAGGGAACTGCTAAATGTGAAGTGAAAGACAGCTGCTCTCATGTCGATTACCCTTGTTAGCTTCAGTAGCTCTGAGTGCTGCCTGCGTAACCGGCTCAGGAGGCTTTCCGGGTGAAGAGTTCAAACCCGTGCTCACAGGAACGCTACCCAAAGGGTAAGACTTCAGAGTCAATGGCAAACTGTTTCAGTGGTCCCTTTTCTTAGTCAAATGTTCTGCTCATTGCCTCGCTGAAACAATGTTTTGTTTTAAATGTATTTAAAATAGTGGCCACTGCAGGGAGAACTACATCCCTTTATCTGGGCTGAATGTATTCTTTAGAGTGTGAGTTTGCACAGTTTGGTTAATGAGCAGAAGCTCTGAAAAGGCTAATCCGCTGTGTCTGCTGGATGATTCTGTACCTCAGGTAGGACCCGTTCACTAATGTTAAAAGTCCATTTGCTATATACTTTTGTTTTAGTATTTTGAAAAACATAGGGTCTACAGTGTAAGAGTAAAACTCGTATGGTAAGGACTTTAACTTTTTTATGATATTCTTTATTCAAATATTAGCAGATGGTTTTTTAAAATCTGCTCCTAAAGATTTGTATCTATTTTTTTCAGGAGAATGGAAGCATAAAAAGCGGCAAATATGAACTTGAAAACTTGTGCATTCAAGGAAAGGCTTCTGTCTGGATTATCTAGTCTTCTCTTATTCTGTCCATTCCCATTTTATCTGTGAATGAAAAAATGATGTTTGAGAATCCCTAATGTCCCAAGGCAGATCATGTTAGACATATGTGTATGCACATAGATGGCAGAGAGACATTATTTATAGTAAAATGGTGATATTGGCTGTGTTCTGGACGCATCTTTGTGGTCTCCACAAGCACTTGAATCTCTTTCTGTTTCTCAACTAATGTGTGAAAAATGCAGGTTCCTGTGAGATTAATTCGTTCTCTTAATATAGTTTCTCTTTCTATGGAACAAGCTAACACCTTTTTCCTTTCTCCTTCTCCCTCTTTCTTTTACTCAGCTAGAGGATGAAATTTCAACTTTGCGGCAAGTGTTAGCAGCCAAAGAAAAGCACCTGGTGGAAATTAAGCAAAAGCTTGGCATAAGTCTGATGAATGAATTGAAGCAGAACTTTAGCAAAAGCTGGCATGATATGCAGACAACTTCTGCGTGAGTACAGACCTTGCACAAATTCATTCTTGTATGTTGTGTAGCATGTTGGTGGCATTGTCTCGATAAGCCCTGGTATGAAACTTAGCAGTTGAAATATCTGCCAGCAGGAGCAGATGACACGGACGAACATGTTGGGCTTCTTAAAGCAGTAAGGAGAAATGGAAAAAAAAAAACACAAAAAACCCTGCCACAGCAACAACAAAATTTTGCTGTCCTACTCTGTTGAACTTCACTCTTGCAAAATCACAGCAGCTAAGACTGTCAGGGCACCAAGGAGGTCATCTTCCTTTCCCATGACACATTCCCACTGAGCCCTTATTAGGGAGAGAAAGAACTCTTTTTGATCTCAGTGTATTATATTTTTCAGCTTCCTAGCGAGGCAACGTAAAAAAAGGAGTTCCAACACATCAGCGGCCGTTTAAACCAAAAAGTACTATCATCTCCATTGTAGAGAATACTGACAGAATTGGTGTGATGCATAACTATTAATACCTCTTTTAGTTGTCCCAAAGCAGCAACAAAAAGCTATGGGAATAACTTTACCATCTTTGACTTTAGCATGAGTCGTACATACGTCAAGTCCTTTGTTATTAGCCAGCAGTTTGTGCTTTGGCAAGTCACTTAAGCCTGTCACAGCATCCATTTAGCACTGTGCAGAATGGGTAACCAGCTCAAAAGAGTTCAGTGAAACTTGGCTTGTACATGTAAGCAGCTTTGGGTTCCTGCAATGAAAGGTAATTTAGAAGTGTAAAAAACTGATCCACCACTTTCAGTGCAAAAATGAGCATTGAACTTTCAGTGATTATAGTAGAATTGTTGTTGAAATGGGTTTGATCTCTTTTTTTCCCCCTAGAATCAAACCCATTATACTGTGGGTGTCTGTAGTCTAACTCAGTTGCTGCCTTCCAGGAAGGTGCCTTCTAAAAATGCATGAATTGTTTGGGGGATGCAGTTGCAGCTTGGGTTGCAGCTTCCTGCTAAGAACCTTTTGTCTTGCATAGGAAAGGAATTCAAAAGGCATGTTTAGAAACAGTGATAAGACCTGCCCTGAATCTACCATAAAGAATGGTCAAACCCAGGACAGACAGTGCTGCTTCTAAGCCTCAAATACTTTTTGGTTTGTATCTCCAGTGTAAAAGCTGATAAAAAATGGAGTATCCCACAGAGAGATGACAAATAACCATGAATTTGAAAGTTCCAGGAAGACCTTGATAGTTACTGAGGGGCTGCTCTCAGTTTCATGCTGAGCTTTATGCTTGAATATATGAACACACTGTATTCCTCTAAAAATTCTTAGGCTTAATTCGGCCCAGGAATTAAAATTAAGGAGAACCAACCTTCCATCAAGTGCTGTCTGCAAAGTTACTTTTAAAAAGTTACTGAGCACAGGCAGCCAAAGCAATAGGAGTGGAGGAAGAGATTGCAGTGGAAAAAAAGATGTGCAAAAATGTACATTTTCCATTAAAATATTCTCCCCCCCCCTTTTTTTAATGAAAAGTCAAGCAAGGCATAAAGACTCTGATGGGAATTGTAGTTTGCATGCCTCCTATCTCTAATCTTCGGCCAGTTTCTCTTAGGCCAGTCATGAGGTCGTGTTTCTCATGACTTGTCACTGACAGGGGCACCCGTGCTGGCTCAGTGAGGGAGTGTGGCATATTCTAGGAGAGAGTAGGCTAGAGACACTGAGCTTTGAGAGGAGGCACTAACCGGAGAGGAGGGGCACAAGGCACTTAAACTACAGTGACTGAGAGACAGTAGCGAAATTTTAGAATAAAAACTTCAATTTTTACTTGAAATTTGGTAGCACGTTCCAAGAAAGCTTCCTTCACAATGTTGACATTTTCCACAAGGATAAAGAGACCTGAGATTTTATCAGTAGAGTAGCTGCTCATCTTTAAGAGGAGTTTCAAAAACAACAGGCCATTAGTCATTCAGTGTCCACAGTTAATTATTTGGGCCTGAGCACAGAGAGTTCATTTGTGCCCTTGCAAATCCTGTTGTCTGTGCTCCAGCTGTGTAAGGTGCTGTATAATTCTGACTGACACTTAATGATGCCAGTGTAAATTGTAGAAATTCAGCATTCTTAAGAATGCATGTCTTAAGTAATAGAGATGATTCATTGTTGTTGCATCAAAATAGCAGAACTCATCAAGATTCTCTGTTTTAGTAAGGATGAAAAGCCTGCATTAAAGAATTCCAAATATTTGCATAAATATTTTGAATCCACATCCGTCCTAAATCCACAATTAGTCACTTTTAATTAAAAAAAAAAAAAGACCTGATTTTTTTAAGGAGGCAAATTTTGCTTTCACCAAATCTTACTAGGTTTTGCAGTTGCTGTGCTTTTCTGGAAATTAAAGCCACTTTTCTTTAATGGGGAGATTTTCAAAGCCGCAAAGAACAATTAAACACCAAATTGTTTTCTTCTTATTATTAATAATCTTTTCAAGCTCTCCATTTAGGGACGGATTCTTAGGGTTAGAGTAGACTTAGAGATGGAGGGATGGATTTCTCTCACAAGCAGTTATGCGGAGTGTGCCTGAACAACTAGTTAAGACTCAGTACCTAGATCATAGTTAGGATGAATACCACCTGGAATGACTAAATGTAAAACTGGGCTCCTGACTCTTTTTGAGTATCTAAGTTTTAAAAGGGGCTGCAGGTAGTTTAGGAGTTAGCCTAAGCATGCTTGACAAGTAAATATCAGAAATTATTATTAAAAGATTCTGTTATGAATAAAAAGAAAAAAAAATAATAGTTTTCACAGTGATGAAAAACAGAGCTGAAGGTTAGTGGGCTGATACCCTGCATAGAGTCAAGATTTTAACCAGTTCAGCACACAATGCTGCGCAAAATCTGTTTCTCTGTCATTATTTCATGCTTCAAGCTATGCAAAACCAATTCCCACCACCTCTAGTAGGACATTACATTTGCAACAGTAATATGCTGCTTTTTTGTATCAAATCAGCTTTTTAATCAGCTTTATTTTTCGCTTAAAAAAAAAAAAAACACCTGCAATGCTGTTTTTATTTTCCTGCTTAGTAGGAAATACACTGGAAGTCATTCACTTATTGTGATGACCAGAAGCATAATGCGTTTTTCACGTTCTGTAATCATTTCCTCTGCTATTCTTCAGTGCACTGATTTTTAGTATAATCTCTGTGTTAGGGAAGGCAGGGGGCTTCTACTATAAAGCATATCAGTAACTAGAGAGCAAATGATTGCCTCACGTTTAATTTTCTTTCATGGTGATGAGGCATTCAGCTGGAATGACTTCCCCCACACACCTTTTTTTAAAGATCAGGTTTCCAGTGATTAGAGGTGGGTGGATATTCAGTTAGCTTCTAGCAATGCAATTTTTTATTTATATTTTAAATATAGATAATTCTTATTTGGATGCTAGAAGTAAGATTAATATTGGTGGCTTTTAAGGTTAGTTATTTTAGGGTAAAGAATCATTAAAAATATTTGTACAGTGATATTTGCAGAGACCATAAATGAATTTTTCTAATTAACATTTTGCTACAAAGGAAAGGTTTTATGTAACCTGAATGCAGTATGTTTACTAAGTTAAACATGTTTGATTGATGTGCTTCAATAAAGTTTCCCCAGTGCTTTCTACAATAATACTGAAAAAATGTAGCCTTCTGTAGTTCAGATTTTCACTGCATAGTACATGAAGGCACAAAGACAGCTTCTGTGAAGAATGGCCTAGTTTTATACAGGGTCACAGAACAGTTGAGGTTGGAAGGGACCTCTGGAGATCGTCTAGTTAAACCCTCTGCTCAAAGGACCATGTCCAGTCAGGTTTTGAATATTTCAAAGGATGGAGACAACACAGCCTTTTTGGACAACCCATTCTAGTGTCCGGTCCTCCTTATAGTAACATTTTTTTCTTATTTTTAATCGGAATTTCTTATATTTTGATTTGTACTCTTGCCTCTTGCTCTGTCACTGGACACCACTGAGAGGAGTCTGGCTCCATCTTCTTCACATCCTCCTGTCAGATATTTATACACATTGGTAAGATCCTCCCCTGAGCCTTCTCTTCTCCATGCTGAACAGGCCCAGCTCTCTCAGCCTTTCCTTCTGTGACAGATGCTCCAGTCCCTTAGTCATCTTTGTGGCCCTTTGCTGGACTCTCTCGAGTGCATCCGTGTCTTTCTTGTGCTGGGGAGCCCAGCACTGGATGCAGCGCGCCAGATGTGGCCTCACCAGGGCTGAGTAGAAGGGAAAGATCATTTCCCTCAACCTGCTGGCAACGTTCTTTGTGGTGCCACCCAGGATACCATTGGCCTTCCTTGGCACAAGGGTGTATTGCAGGCCCATGGTCACCTTCTCCACCAGTACCCCCCATCTTTCCTGCAAAGCTGCTCTCCAGCAGGTCAGCCTCCAGCATGTACTGCTGCATGAGGTTATTCCTCCCCAGGTGCAAGTCTTTGCATTTCCTTTTGCTGAACTTGGTGAGATTCATGTTGACCAATTTCTCCAGCCAGTGAAGTTCCTCTGAATGGTATACCAGTTCCTCTGGTATACCAACCACTCCCCCCAGTTTAGGATCATCAGCAAACTTGCTGAGGTTGCACTCTGTCCCATCATCCAGGTCATTAATGAAGATGTGAAACAGCATTGGCCCCAGTATTGACACCTGGGGGACACTACTAATGACTAGCCTCTAGTGGGACTTCATGTCACTGATCACAACCCTTTTTAGTCTGGTAGTTTAGCCAGTTTTCAATCTACCTTGCTATCCATCTGTCTAGCCCATACTCCATCTCATCTGTGAGAATGTTATGGGGAGAAAGTGCTGAAAGTACTATTAAAGTCAAAGTAAACAGCACTGTTCCCCCCTCATCTACCAAGCCAATCATCTTATCACAGAAGGCTACCAAGTGGGTGAAGCATGATTTCCCCTTTATAAATCCATGCTGATTACTCTCTTCTTGTCCTTCATATGTTTGGAAATGATTTTCAGGGTTATTTGCTCCCTCACCTTC